AATGTAGCTACAAGAAGGCATGGCATGGTAGAAGAAAAGCACTTGAGGCTCTGTATGGTACATGGGAAAGTAATTTTCAACAACTGCCCAGCTTCCTTGATGCATTGTTCATGTCAAACCCGGACACTTGTGTGCAATTCAAGTTTAAGAAAAATTCAGGAAGCTTGTAAAGGTTTGTATGTAGGTATGTTTTCTGGGCATTTGGGCCATCTATACAATTATTTCATGCTTGCTGGCCAGTAATAACCATCGATGCCACCCATCTTCGAGGATCCTACAAAGGAAAACTAATTGTGGCATGCGTGAAGTGCGCAAATGGCACAATTGTTCCCATCGCATTTGCTCTTGTGGACGTAGAGACCATACACAACTGGAAATGGTTCTTGAAGTATTTGAAAAAGTTTGTTCTACAGGATAGGAAGACCTGTATTATCTCTGATCAAAATCAGGGTGTCCTTACTGCCATGGACATCATGTTGCAAAAATTTCCAGAGATGGGAGTCCACTGCTATTGTCAAGAGCATGTTAAAGCAAACTTGGTTGGGCATTTTCGAAAGGAGAAACTGGGAGGCAACTGTCAAATGATTGGTTCAGCGACGCAAAAGACAAGGTATTTGGCAGAGTGGCAAAAATTAGAAGAAAAAAATGACAAGGCAGCTCGTTGGCTTCAGAAGCTGGGTGTTGAGAAATGGACCTGTTTACACGATGGAGGGCATCGTTGGGGAGAAATGACCACTAACATTTCAGAGAGTTTCAATAATGTTCTGAAAGGTGCTAGATTCTTTCCAATCACAGCTTTGATCCTAGCATCCTTTCGGAAAAGCAACAATCTATTTCAGGCAAACATTGATATGATCCAGAAATGTCAAAATGTTCTACCTCCTAAGCCCATGAAACTGTATGAAGAGGCCCGGAAGAAATGAGGCAACAGGTAAACCGGTTTAGCAAGAGAAACCAGAAGTACGAAGTGGTTACAATAGCACCTGATAATCAACCATGGAAGGCTGAGGAGAAGCAAGTTGTACTCTATGCAGATTGAGAGTGCACTTGCGGGGGGTAGCGGACTACCAGATTTCCTTGTTCCCATGCACTTCGAGTTGCCCGTGAGCTAGGTGACGACCCCTTCCCACTTTTTGATCCATGTTACACTACGCAGCAATGGTACCAACAGTTTTCAGGAGAATTCAACCCAATCATGGAACCATGGCCAAAGGCAACATGGCAGATCAAGCCAGATGACACTAGACTTGTCCACCATGCTGGGCGGGGTCGGAAGTGTGTGAATTGGAAGAAAGGTGTGATGGATTATACAAGCAAATCTGGCCAACGAAGACTCCAAACTTGCAATTTATGTAAACTACAGGGCCATAATGCCAGGGCTTGCCCATATGCGACAGTTTGCGCACGATGTGGAAGTTTAGATCATGATGCTGTGGAATGCCCATTTTCTCATCCACCTACTGACAGGACCGCTATTGATAAACTTTACGATCTATATGGAATTTGTGGTGTGCCTAAGATCAATTCTGATGATTCTGATGATGCGTATTGATGATTCTGTTAGTGTTTGTATTTGTGTGTTGTTTTGAACATTCATGTAATAAATCAAAAAGGATGATTTTGTTTGCGTTTGTATTTGTGTTAGTGTGTTGGTTTGGATGTTTGTGTGATAAACGCTAAAGGATCATTCACTTTGTGTGAGTTGTTATTTGGAATTATCAACAAATCCGATCCCCCTCTTCAAAAAAAAAAAAAAAAACATCAAGGAACAAATCTGATCCCCTCGGCAAAATATTTTTTTGTTTTAAAAAGGTCGGTCTTCGTCATTATGTATTAAAAATGTAGTACTATTAATTCCTATAGACATGTCGTATAAAGCACTAATTATCTTGGGACGGAGTGAGTACAAATTTTAACATTATATAAGTATCATAATTTTTGGGGAAGGTATATTATAAAGATGTAAATCGGAATAATCAATAAATCCGATCCCTCGCTTCACAAAAAACAAAAAAAAAAATCAGGTTACAAATCAGATCCCATCGATAAAAATGACCAAATTACCCCTAATACGCAGGAGTCCAGGACTTAGACTCCAGTATAATGGACTGGATATTTATGTCTTTTTGGTCGTTTGACCGATTTTTGTCATGTTATTTAACCCACAGATTATTCGCGTTTCAGAAACGCGAATTAAATCATGCGTAAATACATTTTGCGTTTCGGAAACGCGAAATAGTTGTGGGTTAAGTAAAATTCGTGTTTCAGAAACGCGAATTTTTGAAACCGTTGCCCGGATTTCGCGTTTCTGAAACGCGAATTCTTGGTGGGTTAAATCCAGAATTCGCGTTTCACAATTGTTCCTGTTTTCTTTACCAGTCCGCCACCCCCGTCGGAATCCATAGAAACCGGCGAACCAACAGCGGGAGTCGCCGGAAGCGAGTTTCGACGTCGATTTTGTGCATTTTCTAGGCTATATATCGAGGTATGTTGTTATTTTGCTCTCCTTTAATCCTTTTTTTTAAATTAAAGGTTTTAAATTCCCCGGTTTCTAGCATACATTTTGTAGTTTTATTTTTTTTGATTTTAATTCGTGATTTAATACTCCGTTAATAGATCTAGGACAAATGGTGTAGTTGTGGGTTTTTTTTAGATTCGGGGTTGTGGGTTCTGGAGTGGGTTGCCGGCGGGGGAGTCGGGGTGAAGATGAGGGGGGTTGCCGGTGGGATAGAGGGGGAGTCGGGGGGGGGGGTGTAGATTGGGGGTGGGCTTGGGGTTTAGGGGTTTGGGGTTTGGGGGGGGGGTTGGGTTGGGGTTAGAAGTGGGTTTGGGTTTTGAGAGGTGGGTTTAGGGTGTAAGTTTAGAGGGTTGGGTTTATAGGTTGGGTATTGGGTTGGGTTTAGAGGATTGGATATTGGGTTTAGAGGGGTGGGTTTAGAGGATTGGGTTTATAAGTTTGGGTATTGGGTTGGGTTTTTTTAAAATAATTTTTTTAATATATAGGATAATAAATATTGATAAATATTAATCCGTATTTACTAAAATTTAGGGTCGGTTTTTTTAATATAATAAATATTGATAAATATTAATCTGTACTTACTAAAATTTAGGGTCGGTTTTTTTAATATATAGGATAATAAATATTGATAAATATTAATCCGTACTTACTAAAATTGTTTGTAAATTGTTATAGCCATGGACATTGGATCATCTTCTTCCTCCCAATCTACCTCAAAAAAGCTACGACAAGGACCTCGAGATAATAGTTTGTTGTTCCTCCAAAACGCCCACAGGTCATATAATATATTCCATGGTGCACAATATGATATAGGGATTTCGGAGCCCAGGCGCGTAGATAGCGCAGCGTGGAAATATATAAAAGATGCACCAACGATGACAAAGGAATACATTGAGAAATTTGGTTTTGGACCGTTTTCTAGAGTTGGGTCCATAAGAGGTGACTATGCCCTGCTTACAGCTCTTGTGAAGCGATGGCGCCCAGAGACCCATACTTTTCATTTACCTTTTGAGGGAGGCTACTATCACACTGCAGGACGTTGAGGTTCTTTTGGGGCTTCAGGTAGATGGACGTCCGGTTACAGGACATCACATAACGCCTGAAGGTGGTTGGGCTGCCTATTTGGAGAGGATGTTTGGATTTAGGTTCCAGACAGAGGAGTCCAGATTGACGAGCGTTTCCATCACTGAAATAAAGGCTCACATAGAGAACAATCCTTTGACGGACCAGTCCCCCGACGAGGCACACTTACAGCGAGCTCGTTGTTTTGTTGGATGGCTAGTTGGCGGATTACTATTCTCTAACACTACGAGAAACAGTTTTCCACTCGATCTTGTGCATTTTCTGCATACTCCCAAGATTTGCTCTGAGTACAGTTGGGGTAGCGCGGCACTATGTTACTTGTACCGCAGCATGTCCAAGTCATCTCTGACCGCTTTCGCAAAGGCTATTACCGGCTGTGTGATTCTTCTTCAAGTATTTTATCTTTTCATTTCTCTCTTTTTTCATTTTATATTCTCCCATAATTATTTGTGATATTAGTTAATGATCCATAAATTCTGAATTAGCTCTAGGCCTGGGAGCGGATTTTGACGGTTCAGCCAAAGATACTGGGTGGGGAGCTTGATTTTTCTCATTGTGCATTGGGCACGAGGTAATCTTATACATCAAACCTCCAAACATTTTGACATTGTGATTTGTACTGTCATGTCTCAATTTAGTGTTAGTTTTTCCGTGCAGGTGGTCCCGTGAGAAAAAAGTTCAAGGTATCACGTGGTTCAATTTGGCCGCCTACCAGGATCAGCTTGCAGTTCTCGCAGAGTCAGATGTTAGTATTCATTTCAATTATTATAACATATTCTTTATTGGATTTTTTTAATGGTGCCGGACTTTTAATTTCCTATCTCTTACTGTATTACCACTACAGTTTGTATGGATGCCGTACACGACTCTTCTGGGTCGTATTGCCATGGTTTGTCTTGTAGGACAAGGCATCTGGCGATCTCAGACATGGCTCATCTGCGGTGATTCGTTGCACAACACAACCCCAGTAGGGTATTTCGCCAATTTGGTTATCACCAGCGGATACCCGGTGACGCATTGCTTCTGACTGCGGGGGAAATTACTAGCCTGCTCAAGAGGAAGCCGTTTGGAGGATCCGATAGGAGATGGATACAACAACTAGGGATATATCTCCAGGTTTGGAATGATCGCCACGGCAAACTTGTCGGGACTGATGATGATTATGTTGGCGAGCCTACAGCAGATCCGGAGTATCTCTTGTGGTACCATCAGGTTACTGTAAAGTATGTTACGGACCCGACGGACTCTAAAAATGTGAGGGGTTTTCACGGCTCTGCAGAGACCTTGCGCCTCATGGTGAGTCTTTCGTACAATTTCGTTTGCCTACACTCCATTATGTAATTTATTTTCATTGTTATCGATTTACGATTCTTTCTAAGAAAAATTTTAGGCCACTTTGATGGAGGACGTTCGTAGTCTGAGTATTATAGGCCAGCGTACTTTCGACAAGGATTCCTTTGGTTATGATCGCTTAGGCGAGATTGCCCAGGTTGCTGAGCGGGCGTTATCCGTCAATGCAACAAATGTTGTACGTCACGATCTCGAGAGGCAGGTTGAGGTTAATGACATTTTGAGTCAAGAACTTGGTCTTGTAGACCTGACCCAGCAATATCCACCTTCCAGACCTTCAAGGCGTTCGCGCAGGTCTCAGCGTGGGCATGGGGGGCAAGAGACAATCACGCCCACTCAGCCACATCAGTCCTCCCAGCATTAGCAGTCTCATATCCCCTTCACTGACGGTTCATCCCATCAGTCTCCACAGCATTCATCCCATCAGTCTTCACATCATTCATCCCATCAGTCTCCACATCATTCTTCGCCGACCCAACAGACGTTTTACTGTCCCATTATGTCTCCCCAGCACCAGCAGTCCCATTTTACCTTCACTCAGTTTTCCTCCTCTCAGACTTCTTAGCTTCAGTTTGGAGATTCTTTTATTGACTTTTCTGGGTTCCAGCAAACTTCTCTAGATGTCCAGTCGATACATTACACGAGTAACTTTCTTTCGAGTATGTTCGAGGGTGTTGCAGGATAGCATCAGGCTGATGACCCAGCTGGAGGTGAGCGTGAGAGTCAGGGTGAAGATGATGATGAGGATGAGGCTAAGGATGCAGACCAGCATGATCAGTTTGAGGGTCAGGGTTATCAGCGCCATGAGGAGCAGGGATCGAGTCAGACTCTAGGGACTCCACCGTTGGCTGTGAGTAAAGGCCAGAGAGTGACAAAGGAGCCGGATAGATTGACTTATAGCCATTTTCGGGCTAAAAAGCCCAAGAAGAAGTAGGGTACTAGACTTTTTATATAGTATTATTAGACTTGTTTTTTTTCCTTTTTTTATGACTTTTTTTTTTCTTTTGTTATGACTTGTAGTATTTTGTTATGACTTGTATTAATATTCTTAAACAATGATTTCACCTGCATCGTTGCTACTTTATTAATATTTATCAAACACACCTTGCCGATCAAATCTAAAAACAAAAATTTTATTTTATTTCAAACTATATTTTATTTTTTTAATAATTAATTGTTGCTTCATCTTTTTTTTTTTAAACAAACAGCAAAGTATTTAGTTTATCCAAACAAAATATGTAATTCTTAGCTCTTACATACCAACCGTCTATTAAAATTACCACATCCACAAAAGGATAGTACCAGATACCTATAACAAACATTCAGTAAACTAAAGTTCTCTTCAAAATTAAGATGGGGTGCATTAAACAATCGCATTGGCAGCACTTGCAATCCTAGGCCAAAGATCATCACACTCCTTTCCAATGGGACCACTGATTGCAGAACCTTTCATTTTTCCCTTGGGATTAACAATCACTCCAGCATTATTTTCAAAGTACATGCAGACACCGTCCTTTCAGCGGCATGGCTTGCGCTGGCGGACAATGATTGCGAGCATGACCTTCTTCCAGAGATCAGGCTTACCCTTCTTGACGGTGGCCATAATTAACCATGTCACCGACGCAAGCAGAAGGGAGACAATTGTACCTACCCTTCATTCCCTTCACTGAAATGATGTAGAGGTTCTTTACCCTATGTTTTGTCGGCGCAATTCATCGTCGCAGCCACTGGAAGACCCAGAGACATCCTGCACTTGTTACCCGCCGATCCTCCGTGTCCTCGCTTTGACAATTTTGCTGGCTCCCCTGTGAGGTTTCCGAAGAAGAGAAAATAGTTGCTTCATCTTAAGTGTTGATAAATTATAATAAATATTTCTTAAAATTTATTCATATTTTAAGCTTTTTTCTTATATTGAAACTGTCATAATTAATATAAATAATTTATAAATTAAATTACATCTAATTAATATAATTCCATAAAATTACGTCATTTATCATCATTGAAAATTTTTCATATATTATTTTATAAAATAATGATTAAATTTTTAATATAATTTTTTAAAAATTTATTATAATTTTCTAATATAATCATTATTAAAATTTTAATATAATTTCTTAAAAATTTATAAATTATAATAATTATTTCATACTTTTAATAATTTATATTTAGTATAGCTCTATTTAATTTAATGAGTATCAATTATAATATTATATTCTTATTCAAAATTTATTTTTCCTCTGTATAGCTCTATTCAAAATTTAATGATTATCAATTATAATTTTAAAATTTTACTTTAATTTTATTATTAAAATTTAATAATTTTTTGAAGTAAATTTCCCTACAAATTTTTGAACTAGGCAAATTAATCAAATTTTTATGACTATTTCCTTTTTTTATTTAATTAAAATATATATATATATATTTTGCGCCTCAAAAACGCGAATCCTTATTTAATTAATTTTTTACCATTAATTAATTACTATTAAGTTAAATTAATTAGGATATCTTATTATTAGCGTTTCTTAAACGCGAAAATGGTATTCTAGCGTTTTCAAAACGCGAAATTGTTTTTTTAGCGTTTCTGAAACGCGACACGTTTTTGAATCGCGAAAGAACTAGTTTTGGCCACAATTAAAACCCTAGATCTATTTTGTTCAAAATTTTTTTAAGATATATATAAGTAAATTTTCCTCATAATAACCACCAAACACAAACATCTTCTAGACCTATTTCTGTTGTTCATCATCCTACTGTCAAATCCAATACTCCTTCGCATCAATCTATTTCCTATGTTGCTCGCACTACAGTTATCTATTATTCTGGGAATCCCTCTCCAGAAGCCCTTCAACAACCTTCAATAAAGGAAATATTAATCTCTCGGATCAGCAAGAATATAGTCCTCCATCAATCTATCATGATCATCATATTCCATCTTCTCAAAATGTATCCACTGATATTCATCCATCATATCCACATTCCACTTCTTCCATCATTCAATCCCCAGTTTTAGTCTCTGAAAATGTGTTCACTTATCCCCTTCAATCAAACCACCTAAATTCTACTCCTTTCATCAGTCAATTCCCAATTCGAGACTCTCAAGCTGTACCCTCAGCCGCATCTTCTTCTTGTGTATCCAAAACCTTGTCATGCAATATCTCCATTCCATGCGCACCTACTGATTTCCCTAAACCTTTACCAACTTCAATATCACTCTCCCCAGCTAAATTGCCTCCAAGCCCTTTCTTAATGAATTTTCCTGTGAGTCTTCAAGAAAATTGGCTGTAGCGCGTAGAAAGTATAACCGTTTTGTACAAGTGGATTAGTCTCCAATTATGAAAGCAAAAAGAAGGCATATGGTTGAGGAAGTTGAGGAGATTATGGTCCAAACGATTGGGAAGATAGCTCGTACAAACTATTCAGTGAATGGAAGCAGATTCGTTTTGGACTGACTTTGGTTCTGACGATGATGTTTCCAAAACTGAGAAGGCGGAGGTTGGCGGAGCCGGCCAATCCCACCAAGCAATATCAGTATCATCAGCTGGAATTGTCGAGAGCTTGAGAAACCTCTGACAATTGCTAATTGCAGGATTTTATCTACGAAAAGTCACCCGATTTGGTGTTAGTTATGGAAGCGAAGTGTTTTGTTACTACAGTAAATAATATGAAGAATCGTTTAGGGATGAATGTTGTTGCTATTGGTTGTTCTGGTTGTTCAGGAGGTCTTGCTTTGTTTTGGAAAAAATCTATTGATGTGGAACTGTTAGGGATGTGAGTGTTTTGTTGATGTGAAAGTAGAAGTACACGGTAAAGTATTCAGATTTACATGAATATATGGTGAACCTGATCTTGCAAAAGGTCGGCTAGCTTGGCAAAGTCTGAAAAATCTGAATACTGTCGGCAATCTACCTTAGTTGTGTATGGGAGATTTCAATGAGGTACTCAGCCATGATGAAGCTCAAGGAAGAAGGAGAATTTTTGATTGGAAGATTGATGTTTTCCGGCGATTTCTGAGCTCTTGTGGTCTTTTTTGAAATGGGTTATTTGGGTCCAACCTTCACTTGGAGTAGACTTTCAGTTGCTCCTTAAGCACAACATAGTAGATTGCTGTGTGTAATGAAGCTTGGACTTCACTTTTCTATTCCAAAGAAGTACAACATTGTCCTACCATTGAATCTGATCATATGTTATTGCATCTCAAAATCAATTTAAACAGGAAGTCTCAAAGGTTCCAGAAAAAAAAAATGTTCGGATTCGAGGATATGTGGATTAAATCTGCTAATTGTGAAAAGTAATTGGTGATTCTTGGAATCTACATGATGTTGAACTACGGGAAAAATACACAATTGTGCTGATTCCATTAAAGTGCTGATTTATAATATGAGAGCTGAATTGGAGGCCTTACTTGATTAAGAGAACTTGAAATGGAAACAAAGGGGAAACCAACATTGGCATCACGAAGGTGATCGAAATACCAAGTTTTTCCATGCTCATGCTAACAAAAGGAGGGTTGTTAATCATAACTCTTCACTGAAAAATGTGGAGGGTCTTGAATGTGCAGAAAAGGAGGATTTGGAGCATATTCTAAGTGATTATTTTGGTGAATTGTTTTCCTGAACCAATTCTTCATTATCAGAAATTCAATCATCTCTAAGCAGAATTCGTCCAAAGGTAAGCATGGAGATTAATGTTCGTTAGCTGCAGCCTTTTTCTGGAGAAGAAATCTTTCTCACTCTCAAACAAATGAGCCCTTTCAAATTTCCGGTCCTGATAGTATGTTTCCTATTTTCTATACAAAATTTTGGCATATTGCAGGGAATGATGTAATAAAATATGTTCTTGATTTTTTGAATTAAAAAAAATCTTAAATCCTTCTACAAATGTCACTGATATTGTTCTTCTTGTAAAGACACAAAACCTGATTTCATCTCTCAATTCCGTCCTATAAGTTTGTGTATCGTGGTTAACAAGTTAGCATCTGAAGTACTAGTAAACCGAGTCCGAACTGTCTTGCCATCTATCATTAGTGACTCACAATCCACTTTTATTCCTGACAGACTTATCACCGATAATATTTTGGTTGTTTATGAAACACACTATTACATGAAATCAAAGACATTGGGGAACTTAGTTTTTATGTCTTTAAAACTAAACATGAATAAAGTCTTCGATAGAGTTGAGTAGTCTCTTCTTTTGAGATTATGAGAGTCTTAGGGTTTGATAATTCCTTTGTTGATTTAATTTTCCATTGCTTGTGAACCGTTTCATTTTCGTTTCTCTTAAATGGCTGTGAATTCGGAGACCTTTTCCCTAAAAGACTTTTATAATGCATATTTCATATAGAGGTAAAATCTCAACTATGTATGGTTAATGATTCACTACAGTGTATGCTTGACATGTAAAAATGTATCCTTTTTCATTTTTTTTTTCCACATTACAATGGACAGGTCTTCCAATCCCCCATTGAAAAGACCAATTGAATATTACATAACTTCTTAATAAAGAAAAAGGAAACTGTTCCATTCTACTTGGATTTGAGGATTAATTTTTTGATTAATTGTATTCCGCTTTGATTAGTAGTTAACAGCTAATAGTGTCGACTGGTGCTTGTAGAGGAACATTTGTTTAAAAACTGAGTGGTACTGTATGCAATTTGTGCTAAAGGAAATTAATGAAAACATCAACTTTCATTAAGAAAAATAAAATAAGCTTAATTACTGAAAGCCGCTATTAACTCTGTAAATGGCGTCAAGAGCATATGTGCCATGAACGTAATACGTGTTAGGCTCATAGCAGGTGCCGCCAGGTCGGATCGGCGCAATCAACTACTCCACATGCGAAATCAATGAATGCTTACAACCTCTCATTACTAATCGGAGGACTGTTTCTTAACACACACCAAGTCTTTTGATGCATCAAAATCGTACAAATAATTTG